CAATCAATTAAGAAACTATAGCGTTGATCAAAAATCTACATTTATATAAAAGATCCAAGCACATTGATATATACTATTACTTTATCAAAGATTCAATAAAAAAAGGAAAAGTTTTCATTAGTTATATTAATACTATTGATATAATAGCCAATAGGATGACAAAGTTATATAAAAGGATTATATTCAAAAGGTTCTATAGGATATTAGGGTTAGTAATATAATTGAAGGAAATATGAATGATATTCACAAAGGTATAACTTCAATAGAGAAATATTAAAAGTTGAGATTAGAAAGAATTATATATATATAAGCATATAACTCATAAAAGCATTAAATGATTTTTTTATTAAAATGATAACCTTGGATGGGAAGAGAGTTTAACTCTATTAATTCAATCTTTCTTGAGATAATCAATAATATTGCTATTTCCACTACGTTATAGGACATCACTTTCTAACACAAGCTCTTTTATATTAATATCTATTCCATTAAATGTCTCTCCTGAATTAGGGCAATCTTTTACATCATCTGAGTATCTTTTCGATAGGAAACTTGATTATTGATACAATTATGAAGTGTAATATAAGGAATCCCATAATCCAAAACAGCTTTTTGTGTTGATATACCATTTGCAATAGCATTTAAGGCTTCAGCAATATTGTTTTCGAGATAGATTTTTTGATATCTTATAAATAATAGTATATCAAAATTTGAAATCAATTGATTGAATGGTTGTTTAATTATGAATTATTGAAGAGGGTAGGTTGCTGAGGCGGTGTGGGTTTTTAGGGTGGTCCGAAAGGGGGGGTGGTCCGAAAGTGGGGTAGTTGACTTATTGCTCGGAATGAAACAAGAACGTTTTAAACCTTCATGCGAATAGGTTTTGAATTCAGTGAGGGAAGACAAGGAAAGAAAGAAAATCAAGAGATATGCTGGTTCGGAAGAGAATGGCGAACTATCAAGTTGTGACTTTTGCGGAATACTGTTGATACTGATACCGAGAAAAGAATTACGATTACGAGAGCAAAGTTGTTTGGCCTTGCAACGAGCAAATGGCTCTGATACCTCGAAATCCCCTTGTGACGAATATATGAATTAATGCGATTTGTCGAAAGTCATGATGGATCCGGAAAAGCATCGCCATAAGATCGGATAGTCGCTATAGTAGCCTTGGAAAGCCGAACTAAGTGGTTCGCTTCTTCCAGCCATCTAAACCAAGTATTCCACCCTCAGTTCTAGGATCAATCGCCCACTTTCTGGCCGCCAGTATATCGAGCTCACTTCTCCAACCGGCTTCCCACATCTCAATACCTGTCCATGCAATCATAGCTGCATTGTCTGTACAGAACTTTGGAGGAGGAAACGACAATCTCATAGCCTCGTGCCCCCGAACATCCAAGATTGCCCTCAATATATGTTTCAGATATTGATTCGCAGCAACGCCTCCCGAGACAACAAGCGCCTTTATGTCCTTCAGGTCAGCGGTTTCAAGAGCGAGAATCACTCTAGAGGCGAGATGTTCAAATGCTACTCGCATAGTCTCTTGGGCAAGTAATCTCCTCTCTACACTGTCCATTTCCGGGGTTTGCTCCACAATGCGCTTAACCTGACTACCGATACCCGAATACGAGAATGCCGAATTGTAAGATTTTAACCCACCAGGACCTGGACTCAAATATGGAGGTCTTATTGTCCAGCCATATCTTGTTGCCTGCGGGGGTTGCGCAATGCTCGTGAGAGAGGGCTCATAATCGTATGCAGGGCTGCCATCAGGAAATGCGAATTCTTCCATGACACGGCCATACATCACATCTGATGCAGATTCAATCACGGAAGCTGGTAGAATGTCTCGTGCCGTTTTATCAACCATATCTCCAACTGCAAGATCCGAGGTTGTAGCTAAGATTTCGTGGTCGCAAAGCTGACGAGAATGGACGAGGATGGTATGACCACCAGAGACCAGCAAAGAAAGGAACGGGTAAGCAGGATCATTCTCGTGCTTTTGATCTCCAGCGATATTGTTCACCATGTTGAGTGCGGATACCATTCGTGGTGTCAAAGCATGGGCCTGCATGTGATTTACACCTAGTAGAGGCACTTGCCATGCCACGGCCAACCCTTTTGCAGTATCAACGCCAGTTATAAGATTTGCTCGCATCCCTGGACCTCGTGTCACCGTTATAAAATCTGGTTTCTTGTATAACTCGGACCCATGATGTGATGCGACGGCTATAGTATTCTCGAACGTTGCAACCGTGGATTGTTGTCGAGGTAAAGTTCGCAAAGCTTCGTTCACCAATTGCGCCAGGTGTTTCTGATGAGACTCATGTGCGGCGATTGGCCACACTCCTCCATAGGGTCGATTATCCGAGGTGATTTTGGAATTGAAATGTAATGTTGCTGAATGGTTTCCATGTTTCTCTAGGATGGCAACGCTCGTATCATCGCACGAAGTTTCGATCGCCAGAGTCAGAAGAGACCGTTTGAAAGTTCGACATGTCAGCTTTTTTGTGTTGTAAACACGCCTGGAGAGGAGGCATAGTGATTTCATAAAGTAATGTCCCAATCATGAAACGGTGTATATGATATGCCAAACCTGGGTATAAGATATTGATGTGTATGAGCCGCGTTGGATCAATAAGGAAACGGAATAACTCCAAATAATTTAAGGCGTAAATTAAGATTTTAAGCCACATAAAGTTAGTGAGGAAGGATAGCTGGCTGTAGCTTTCAGCCACACTTATAGTACATACTAGTAGTTGGAAGGAAAGTACGGAATAAGTTCTCCAACTCTTTCAAATGGAAAGTTGGATTGGACGACATAAAGAAAGAAGATGACGATGCATCACCTTAATTTGATTGCATCATTGGGCGCAATACCGGTACAGCCTCATTCACCCTTTTGTAAGAGAGTGTAACAAAAATACCGGTATTTATTTATTCTTATTATTATCGCAACAATGGATAAATATCTCTATGATTCGAGAATGATCAAGGCCAAAGTCAAACTATTCTCGTACCGAGCGAGGCAACAACTACGACAGAACTATACCTTTCTGATAGGTTATGATGCAAAAAGAGAAGCTTTCGGGCCACCAGAACTTGAACGATACATCAACTCAACATGAGTCTGATGGCTTACGATCGAAGATGAAGGCAAAGGCCAAGCGACTGCTTAGAATTGACGATGGCAATTCCTCGTCCGGTGATAATGAGGAAGACCAGTACTTTGATGCTATAGTGGAGGGGATCAATCAGAGCGCTGCTTTCGATGCAGATAATGCGCTCAATACCCCCAAAGTGGGAAAAGGATCGCGGATGGAAAGAACGAAGAAAGCTTTGCGGGGGACCGCTGACGCTATCATCCATCCCGTCGCATCAGCCCAATCGAGAGCTACGAGGGAGACTGCAGGAGAATTGGCCAAAAGTCGACCATATCTGTCTAATCAAGCAAACCTTGACTTTCTTGAAGCCCACGATGATCTACAGCAAGCCAGGGACGCCCAGAATACTAGCAAAATTACAACCCAGGAAAATCAAGACAACATTGACCATTGCGAAGAGAAGGTCCAAGCAATTGAGCGAAAAAGAGAGGAAATGCGTGTTGCTTGGGTCACCGACAGACATGTTCAACGAGTTCGAGCCGTTGATAAGGTACCTCCACCATTCCCACCCGATCGATATTTCGAGACGCAAGATGATCATGGGTTTACAGAATTTAATTGGGCAAAATGGATTGGATATGTGAGTATGCACACTTCTCGAAATTGCTACTTTTCATCTGAACATTCAATAGAAACTTCTCCACGAGTCGCACAGTTTCACGGCGCAATATATCGACGATTTTGAAGAGCTTCCCTTCAACATAGACACCTTGCGCCGGGATATAGAAAGAATCATTATAGTTAGTGCTCCGCTACAGGAGGTCATGTTGGACATCAGGAGAATCTACAGATGGGAGGACCAATGGCGAACATCTAAATGGTTAATTTCGTATCTATTGCTTTGGTATTCATCGTACATGATGTCATTCTTGGTAAGATAGTTCCTAATCTAGAGTACGGTATCTAATGTTGTTAGTACGCATATATTGTCTACAAGACGGCGAAGAACTATTATTATCCTTCCTCTGTGGATACATTGCGAGAAGAATTTTCAAGGAGTTTTGATGAGGGATCGGCTCTGAAAGCTGGAGAACTTATGGACAAGCATGGAGAAAAAGACTGGCTGGGACCTCTTTTGGAACAACTCGGCCCATTTCTACAACTTCAAATCGCGGATCTAGCTAACTTACTTGAGGTCTACGACAGTTTCTTTTACTTCCGCCGACCACAAAACACACTGTTTTCTCTTTCCATGTTTGTCGCAGTATTCTTGATTAGTGCTTGTACCTCGATACAGTTCACCATGAGAATGCTCTGGTTTGGGGTTGGGCTTGTGTTTTTTGGTTGCTGGCCTATCAGCTCTTTATACCCCCGATATCGCCTGCTTGTTTCGCCGCTCAAGTGGGCTTTTTGGGATATTCCCACATACCCAGAATGGGCTCTTCAGTATCTTCAGGACCGTGGATCTTCAGCCTTGAGAGAAATCAACTCACAGCTATCGAAAAATTTCAATGGACGAATCGGAAGTGCCGAGGTAGTGGTGGCAACAGCGGAACACGATACAGATAGTCCCAGAATCGAGAAACATGTCCAAACTGTTACTGTTAGTTCGGAAAATATGCACGAAGGACATAAAGACATTCTGTCATTTGGTTGCACTTACCATAACATCCCAGGGCACCTCATAGTCTCCACCGACACCATCCGCTTTGAAGCTGCAGCACCTAACATTCTACCCCGCGAATCATTCCATAAACCGTACAGCGAACTAATCGAGATGTCAAAAGAACAGACTGATAGTGTGCTACTGGCTTCGTTGGCTTCGTTGGCAAAAGTAACCACGGGGAAAGATAAGTTAGAGTTGAGGTTTCGTGGGGAGGAAGGGCTCTATCTGCACGATGCGAGGCAAAATGGGCATATGGTTGTGCTGCTAGAAAATATGAGGCAAAGAGACAAGGCATTCAATAGTATCATAGCTTTTAGCAGCGGAGTGAGATGGCAGTGTTTACAAAAGGCAACGGGAAAACATGTTGGCGCGGAAAACCCAATATCGAACGCAAGTCGTTCGTAGGGCAATTTGCACACCAAAGGCATCGGCGGTTGGATTACAAATTGGATTAATGCTTTTCACTATCTACGGGGCTTTCCTCTTTTCTATTTGATACAATACAATAGTACTCATATTTATCATTGCACATTCATTTTTACTACTGTCGTTCATAGGGATTGACGTCCGTCGGCTACACACTAGTACACAGACTTGCACACATTATTGGCCATTGAATTATTAGGCCGATGGACCCAGAAGTATGATGCTTGTTATTCATGAAACTGATACTTCCTCGAACCCGAAATCTGGACTCGAGGAGCCTTGGCAAGTGGCCGTTTGAAATTAAACAGATAAATACTCCTCAATCCTAATGTCGATCAATTACTAGCGGGACGGACGGTGGCCATACGATACGTCAATATCACGATATTTGAACTCGGTACAGACATTCCATAATAGGAAACTCGCGGTTTTCGAAAGCGGGTGAGCCAATCGTTCTCCAACAAGTAAAGTTTAGACCAATACCGCTTTCACCTGGCTCTTCCCGCGATCTTTCTTGCATTTTGGGTATTGCCTTGCGATGATCCCGTCTCAGCTCAAGTGACTGGCCCCACTATATCTATCATGGGCTAGACTTGAGTTTAAAGTTGGACCTAAAACTAGCACTAACGGATGTCTTGGTACATTAGCCTATCACAATACCAATTACAAGGGTCGCTTCAGTTATTGGTATTCGGAAGATTCTTTTCACGGACTTGGGATTAATATTAGAGTTTGTAGTTGTTGGAATTTCAATGAGGTTTTCAATCACTGTAACTCAAAACGGAGTGGGCTCGTCAACTAATGACGAATCAAATCCTGATATCCATGCAAACTTGAGCCGTGTCGTCAAGAGGTCTGAGGGTAACGAGTCCAATGCGGACTAAGACTTGATGATCATAAAGTCTGCCGCTCTCCACCCTCTACTAACTTTTCTATGTTGGTTATGTTTGCTTTGGTGTTCACTCCCTCCAATATAGTATGAGTACCCAGGGCGTTGCAGTGCCCAGGAAGCAAAGAACTGAAGCTGTCGAACACTCATTTGCCGAAGCTCTCTCAATGAGCTCCAAGGAATCTTTTCAAGTCTTGTCCAAGGAGGAACTTGGCTTACCACCATCTCCCGATAGTCCAACGCTTGCCCGTAACCCAACTACCAATCACAACACCTATAGCATCTTTCCCGAAAGATCATTGACCGAAAGGACACTCCTCAATAGAACAATTCTTGAAAGAACAATCCCGACGTATCCTGCGTTACCCCCGCAGCAGCAACAAAAACAAAACATGCCACCATCAGCGCCAAATCCGGGAAACTTCTCTAAAGCTCAAACGAAGTGTATGCAGCTCTGTCTGAAAACAACAGCTCTCAGCGACCGTATTTCGGTTAGAGTTTTGGAATACCTGACAACAGTGAAAGATCTGCCCCAAGGTTTCGAAGCACTCGCCCAAGATTTCCTCGAAACGTGCCATATCCTCTTTTCCATCGAGGCAGGACTCGATGAATGCAATCATCATGTGCAAAATTTCCCCGCAGAAATGATCACAGAGCTCGACCACAAATTTCGAGCGACTCAGGCGAGCTTTCAGGTGTTCTATCAACTGCTTGTCAAACTCCTTCAGCATGAGGTTGGCACAGTGGGACACTTCAAGCGGGGCTGGGGGAAGATCTTTAGTAATACTGCCAACGATATCAGTAAAATGGCGGGCACACTGGCTAAAACACGCGACGGTTTGAGGATGAGCGCATTGGTCTTTCAATGGAGTTTGGGGAATGATAAGATTGAAAAGGAGTTGGGCATAGGGTACCTTGGTTTAGCTGCAGCGCTGAATAGAATGGTCGAAAAGGCTGGACGCAAATCCACCAAGACTTCGGTTAGCTCACATTCATCGCCCATAATGCCGTCGCCTTTTGAATCCGGAATGAGCGATGTTAGTGGCCATCATACTGTCCAACCACAGCAAATGGAAATTCAGCATTTTCCTCTGCCTCCTCTATCAACTTCCGCATGGACTAGCAGAGCGTCTTCTGGTCAACAGCAGGAGTCCTTAGGGGATAGAGCATCAGCTAGAGATTCTTTGCTTCTGGGCTCAAATGCTCAGCATTATAATACGAATACTATTGGTACTGCCATGAGTTCGCAAATCGCCATTTCCCATGATTCTAGTGAAAGGCATTATTCGGACATAATCAATGCATTTGACAACCACCATATCGATGATACCCGATTTCGTACCGAGTCTGTTGAATCCGGCAGTCTTATCAAAGATGTAGAGGGAATGATAATAAATCCCACGGAGGCGATTCGACTCAAGGTCGACCACGACAATATGCCACGCTGGAGTCCTCGAGGTAACGCTGGCTCAAATACTGGAACCATGAAAGCCGCTCTGATCTCAGCTATCCGGGACAAAAATCACAAAGCTGTAGAGAAACTGTTGGATGGTGGTGTACCAGCTAATACAGGATCGGAGATCAATGCTCTGAAAGAGGCAATTCTTGCTCATGATGCAGAGAGTATACGACTATTACTTACCTTTGGAGCTAATCCAAATGGTCATGATAGAGATGGCGTCACACCTTTACGAGCTTCCGTTGAGAAATCATTCCTGGCTGGAGCTACCACACTTCTTAAGTACGGCGCTGACCCCAATCTTGTTGCTGGTATTGATATGGAATCTCCTCTTGCTGCATCAGTCATGGCAAATATGGTGGGATTCTCTCATATCTTTCTCATCTACAATGGCGACGCCAATCACGTCACCTCGAGCGGTAACACACTTCTCATCAGTGCTATTGGCAAAAAGACATCGAAAGAATTCATGGATCTACTTCTCAAATACGGCGCAAACCCCAACGCTAAAAGTACAGAGGGAAAGACAGCCTTGTTTGAAGCTATTACTTGTGGAAGAGCAGATATCGTCTCCACCTTATTGGAATATGGAGCGGATCCTAATCTTCCAGGCCCGAAACATATGCTTTGGCCTGCTACATATCAAACCGCTTGTCTACAATATCTCCTAACCCACGGTGCGGATCCTAAAAAGTGTCCAGGAATCATAGAGCTAGCGACTAGTATCAATAATATCGAATCAGTCCGTATTCTTCTCAAAGCTGGCGTTGATCCCAACGCCAAGAAAGACGGCGTCTACACACCACTATGTACATCAATCCGCGACGACCGAGCAGACATCTTCCAACTCCTCCTCAGCAACAAAGCCAACTCCAACACCATGGCAAGCGAATATCCCGCCTGGAAATGTGTTACTCATAACCGAGTACACTTTCTCCCCGCCTTAGTCACCGCAGGAGCAGACATCTACAAGCCCAAAGGCATCGCCGAAATGGCCGTAAGCTGCAACAACATGGAAGCACTCAACTGGCTGCTCGACTACGGCGTAAACCCCAACGATAAATCCGCCAAAGGCATGACCCCCCTCACAACCGCCATCCGCGAACAACGTCTCGAAATGATCGATCTCCTCCTCCTGCGCGGCGCCGACGTCAATCTCCGCGGTCAAGACTGGCCCGTTTGTATGGCTGTGCATAATCCCCACATACTCACACGCATCCTCTCTGTTCTCCCCTCACCTCGCGCTTACAAAGGGGTTTTAGAAATGGCAGTTCACGCCAACCAACTCGAATCTGTCAAACATCTCCTCGCAGCCGGCGTCTCGGTCGAAGATAAAAACGGCGGGGTTTTCTCCCCGCTAACTACTGCTATCCGTGAAGACCGCAGGGATATCGTGATATACTTGCTTGATGTAGCTGGTGCGGATATTAATGCACCAGGCGAACATCTACCGATTGTGAAAGCGCTGCGGCGGTATGAAGGCGAAGATACGGGGATGATTGAGATGTTGTTGGATCGGGGAGCGGATCCGAATTTGGTTTATAGAGGGTGGAATGCAATTATGCAGGCGGTGGAGAATGGGGATGTGGAGATCTTGAAGTTGGTGGCGGAGAAGGCGGGGGTGGATTTGGAGGTGAGGGATGAGATGGGAAGGTCGGTTAGTGAGATGGCGGCGGGGAGGGGCTGGATTGAGGCGGTTACTATTTTGCATGATAATATGTCGTTGTAGGTTTGGGGTTGGGGGTTGGGGGTTGGGGGTGGGGATTGGTGTTTGATACCCGAGTGTTTTGGTGGTGGTTTTCATTGGGGCGGGGGGTTTTGTATACGGTGGATTTGGACTAGGACAGGTTGATTGGAAGGGTTGAGCGTTTGCTGGATCTTTAATGAAGATTGGTCACCAAGTGTAACGATGTTATAATTATTCTATGTTCAAATTTCAAACCATACGGAGGGGATCTCTCCTGAATCGTCATCTCTTTCTACCAGAACAATCCTTTCGCCAAAACGATATTCTATGTACAGTAGATCAGCTTTCACAAATAGCTGGAATTTGTAACTACCGATAGGCAAGGTGATGATTTTCCGGATATTTGGATTGGTTCTGTGTATTTCTCGCTACTGTAATAGGATTGGGTGATTCTATTGTGTTCTTTTGGATAGGAGATAGATCACAAGTGGTATCTTAACACTTCTCTATTCTTTCATCATGATTACAGATCTGAAGGGTCTGACGTGCTCATGGATATACGGCTGGAGCATTTCTTGGATAGGTGACAAAGATTGAATTACTAAATTATTTCATTACAAGAGTATATATAGCAATGCTATTCTTATATATGAGGAGCACATATGGAGTGATCAGAGCACATGATACGAGAACGGAACGGTTGTGAAGAGAGATGATGTTTGTGCGTACAGCATGATAATGGGACTTTTGTCGATGGGAAGATATAGGTAAGTACTGAGATTTGAGAAAATGAACTTGCTTCAGATTTCGGAAGCTGGATACTGGATTTGGGGTAATATAATTACTTTGGGGAATAGATAGATACTAGGGGCAATGAAACTTCGATCTTTCTACGAGGAAGTGGTGGATGTGAAGATACTCTACTTACCATCGCTCGAATTTTACTTGAGAGGTTGAGGTGGTTGTAATGAGCAGGATACGAGACCTGTGGATCAATGTATGGCCATTGTTGTTGCAAGGGTAAATAATGTGTTTTATATTCATGAATGTATGTAGAGTCTCTATTCATGAAGATTTCTTGCAGACTTGAGATATGATGATTATGTGACCATGTGTATTATGTTCTCTTATAAGTAATGAGCCACAAAAAAACCACGGTGAAGAACCAAAAAGAAAACATTGAACATGATCAAACCGTACGGTGGCTTAGATGAAACACCGTGACAATGAAGCGGGAGCTGTGATAGGAGATTGCTTGTACATTGTGAAGTACAATATCCATTACAAGGAGCTACAAAGCACACATAGAAATCATCTTGTCTTTCACACTGGGGAGACAGCAACCAGCAAGCTCATAACATGAAGGTCACTCAAAGTACTTGCAACCTTACTCACCACATTACCTAAAACACAATACAATCCAACAACCAATCGGATCATCAAGGAAAACCATAGGACCTACTCAGTCCGGCCATACCTTTGCCTGGGCTACATTCAACAATATTGAGAGGTCTCATAACAAAACAGCCAGTTTGGCAGAGTGGGCAGGACCTAGCACCCAAACAAACAACACAATACAAATTCGAAAAATCGCAAAATCGAAGAACTCGAAGAAACTGCTAGAAGCGGAATTGAAGTTCCAAAATGGTCGAAGAAAGAATTTTCTAGCCGGTCTGAAGAGAGAGTCTATATCGGGAGTCTAGGTCCTGCCCTCCCAGAGCAGGCACAGATATTTTGCTTCTTTTGTTTTCTAGAATGGGATTTGAGGGGCCTGCTCAAAATTTTATCTTTGAGTTTTATAGATTTATAATCTTACAAGCCCTTGAGGAATAGGGTCAGAAATGACGCTTTTATTGGGTTATTGATATATCACTTTTTGCTTGACTTAATATTGATTTGAAAGTGGTGGGGGAAGATATGCTCCTCTGATGATTGGCTTCTTGTAATGAGTAAGTGGACCCGGGTCATGTATATATATATTGACTTGAGTGATACGTTCCTCCTTTTGCTTGTTGAGCTTTGTAAATATAGATATAGCGTGATTTTATGTTCTTCGATATTAGGTGTTAGAAAGAGGAACGTTCGAGTTATTCAGCCTTGACTGTTGCTACAGTATTGCCGGCCGGTGAAACTTGGGTTTTCTACTGTAGCCCTGCCTTTCTTTCCTGCTTGACCAAGTATGATGGTGTCTAAAGTCAATTATTAGAAGGGAGTAACACAAGTCATGGATGTTGTACTTAATGCAGAGAATGGCGGAGAAGCCAAAATCTTGTTGGGCTTGTCGATTTGTTACTTCCTACTATTTGGATATTAGAATGATGACTCAGAATCCTGTGGCTATTACAGACTTCATTTAATTATCAAGTGGAGTCCAAGGAGAGAATTCCCGTCGAAAGATACATTCGCTATTTTTGGTTGCTCAGCTGAGAGAATTACGTATATGGGATGATCTTTGTTTGTTACCACATTCATGTAAGGCACTAGAAAGCAAATTTTTCACTTAAATGGCTTGCTGTTATTTTCCCCTGCTCAGACAATCATGATAATGATTATGAATAGATCTTGATTCAAGATGGGGGTGTTTGGTACATATTTGGAGTAGGATTCCTTGGTATAGTGGCACTCGTCATTTCTAGATTAACTATGATTTTAGAATCGAGTCATGACTCATAAGAATGTAAGACAGGTCAAATTTTCCACTGGTATAAAGGTCAATTAGACAAGAGTACATATGTAAGGGGATACGTGAAAGATTAGGATACTCTGCACGCATGAAAATGTAGAAGGGGGGCTGTGTATCGAGGAGATATGATCTCAAAATCCCTCTGGGTGGGAGTTTCTTCAAACTGCTCCAACCCTATTCAAGCTTACCCAATAAAATCAAACTAATTCACCCTGAAACATAAATTGAAAGCCGAACGATCCTGGGGTGCCCAGCTAAAATTTGCACGTGGAAGCGTCAGAGCAAAATTACCTGTCTGTCCTTGAAACTCTTTCAACCTTTCAACTTCACTTCGATCTTTCAACTCCACTTCAATCCATTAAAGCAACAATACAATAATACCATCACATCAACTCTTTGGCCATCCACAGTTATTGTTTGGTAGCTTAGGAACAAGAATACCTTCATTTTATTACTTAAAATCATTCTCGCTTCAGGCACCAGTCGGATCAAGTCTCACAAATCATGTCTATTCCGCCCCCTGGCTTTGTAACCCCCCCCAACAGACTTCTCAACCAGAAGAAGTCCCTCCCACCCCAGGCGCACCTGTTATTCAACCACGTGTCAGAGGAGATCTTCAACATCATCCTGGTCCCGCTGATTCAAGGCCCGCTAATTCAAGCAGTTCGTGCTGCTCGGGTAAGCAGAACACATTTCTATTCCATTCAATGTGAAATAATTTACTAAATTCACAATTGATTCTACAGCAAAGCCAAGAACTTATCGATTCTTTGAAAAGGAGTATGGATTCTTTGCGAAGAAGTATCGATCAGGTTACGGCCGCGCTCGAAAGAATTCGCGTTGCCAACCCAAAAAAGAGCGACGAATAGCCGCAACGATAATTCTTCGCAGTAATAACAGTAAGTATCAAGCTCTATTCCATCATCCGCTTCAATCAATAGTCTCAAGCTAATTAATTTGGTCCTCTCATCACAGCATCAACCCGTTATTCAACAAGATCGAGAAGATCTCGAAGCTCTTCATTGTCGCGTGGATCATAGTATTGATGGCTGAAGTTTACAGTGGTTGAGGATCTCATCATATCTTCCGCAGTAGCAGAATTATAAGCTGGGCTTCCTAGCCATAGCATAGTATAATTGAGACTTCCTGGTGACTTGGAATCTCGTGATCAGGATCTTTCCAACCTCTGCACCCAAAATATTCAGGCATGCAAATAGTTCCATCTCCTTCTAATTTAATCTCCAACAAGTATCTGTGACTTCGCAGGTGAATACCAGCTAACACTTCAATTTCTTTAGAAGAATCAGCACTTGCTCAGAAATACTACATATTCATACAAACTCCAACGAATTTGCCCCTTACCCATTCACTTTACCAAAAGTCTTTCAACTTCCATACCATTGTCGCTCTGTTCAAACTTCTCAACACCGATACTTGACTTCCCGTCGGTCAGATATTTATACATTCGAGACTTAAGACTACTTCTCTTGGCGTTTTGACCTTTCGCCATTCGATGCAACATATCGAAGCGCAGTATCCCATCGTCCAGTACTCATCTGGAAGTCAAAATATACTTGTGCAACAACATAACACCCAGTTCTCGACCGAAAATATCGAAGACCTGACCCTCGAAAGGGTAGTCTCACCGAAGTCCACAACAAGCACATCCGACACTTCTTTAATCAGGCACGATCTAGACCACACAAGTTTCGATATCCTTCTTCAAGTCCTGAATGAATGAGTCCCCTACTCTACTATTCTCGCTCATTCACTCGCCAAACTTTCCGTCTTATGGTTCTTTGGAACGAGGCGAAGGGTGATGATCATGTCGATGTTACCAAACTAAGATTGAGAAGAGCTCCAAGTATTTATTGCCATCGATCTTGTTCTCTACCTAGTTCATGTCTTGGAGGAGCACCAGAATTTCTTCCAATGGTTTTTAACTTATCAGAACATTGAACCATGACCTTGAGGGAATGAAACGGGACCAATCTTCTTACTCAAAACCGCTGCCATGGCAGTCGTTTACCAATCTTCCACCACCATCAATCCATATCGCATCAATCATGCCACAACAACCTTCTTCTAATTTCAAGAACATCTTCACAAGAACGAACACACATCCAGCAACTTGTACCATCAATCTACAAGATATGTGTTGGCCAAAATCTTGATTCTGATCGGCTTGAAGTTGAGCAGTCAAAGCGACCCTTTGAAAGCGCCCAAGCAGATATCTTTGGAAAATCTGGTGCCGGATTTTGTTTTCTTTGAAAGATGCTACTGCCTGCATTCAAAAGAACTCCACAAGCCACGCTACGGCTTCGTTCAAGTCTGGCAGTCCAAACCTTGTTCCAGGTATCTAATACCCGGTATTATGGCAGTATATTATTCGTCTTAAAACCTAGCATGCTGGGAGGTATTTGACAAACGTCTCTCCCAGCATACTAGTACTTAACATACCACCCGTTGGGAACTGCTCGGTTTCCAAGACGGAAATTCCGGCTCCCAATGCTCAAAACTCACCATTCTTCATACGATACCTTCGACGAGTATTTGGAAAATGCTCTTGTCGCTGTGCGCGACAACGGAGCGGAGGAGATCGAGATGGAAGAAGATGGAGATGCTATCATGACATCTATCATGACACCGGTAGGGCAACAACGGTGGATAGATGGTGGCGCTGGCGTTGGGTGAGAGGAGTATGGTAGTAAACGCAGAAAAGCAAAAGGAAGCGTCACTCCTCTCACTCAACGCCGCATCGACCAGGCTGTACTTCAGCAACTTCCGTCGGTCCAATTCCATAGCTGACCCCTCCAAGCTCGACCCGTCTCCGAAATCTACCATCGCCACCTGGTGAGCCGGCCCAACCTCTCCAAACTCGACTCGTAAACCAAATCTTCCATCTCCAACAGATCAGGAGGACGAGGGTGCAGATGGAGGGGATGGTATATGGTAGATGTGCGAGACGGGTAGAGTTGGAGGGGAGAAGCGGCGAAAACGAATGGGTCTATCATGTCACCGGTAAAGAGAGGCTTCGCAGCCCTGCACGAAATCTTGTGAGAACCAGAGAAAATTATACCAGTTCTACAGTTGATCAACATGAGAGGAGGATGGATACTTAGGAGTATTTGATCTCTACTTCACGAGCTTGCTGGCAGACGAATATGGATGGACAAGGAAGTGTCGCAGTCATCAAGGAAGGAGAGCTTCAGTCGAGGAGGGCAAAAACTTCATCACTGCTGGCAGGCGGACTAGGAAGAGACTGCAGACACCAAAGATGAACTGTCGTGTATTTAGAATCTGAGAAGCAAAAGAGGTGACATGGTGCTGGTGATACTGGTGGTGATGTTGAGCCAGAGTTTGAGTTCTGTATTTATAGTTTGTGCAAATGTATATCGTTACCAGTAGCCCCCGGGCACAAAACATATGAGTTGGCTTCGTGAATTGTCATCAGCAACATTAATTCTGAACTCCCACATTTCATAATTGTGTTACTTTCTGCGGTATATCCTTCCATTTATTGCGTCTCTTGATATGATGCTAACACGACAAATAGTTGTTTACAACGGTCCCATTCTTGGAAATCCATAACACTACGAGCTGAAAACCGTGACCGGCACCACGGTCAAGGGATACATCTCTTCTTCACGTACCGGGAAGAATACTAGTTTCTGGAAGTAAGTCAAACACTTTCGAGAACAAGATCCGCTTGAGGACACAGATGGAGGAGCCAGAGCTCAAACCGCGGCCAGGTTAAATTAATCGATTTTCGAATCTAATTGGCAGACCACGACAGATATTGATTACGATCAAGCAACACTAGTTGAGCCACTTTCCATATTTTCCATCGCGAGCACCCTCATACGGTGTCATCATCGACCCTGAGATAAACTGAGGATAAACAAGACCAAGGTTATCCGAGCTGCCAACTAATACGATCTTAGCCGAAGGCGAAAGAGCTGTGAGGAATAAATGGAAGAGTATGAGAAATAACAAATTGAACGCAAGAAGGAATGTGTTTAAAAGATGCTCGAGAAGACCAGTGATCTGTCAGAGCTTCAAAGACTCAGACGTTGTATTTTTCTCCACAAGTAAGTCCTGAACTCACCGAGTCACATCTTATCTATATCGTGCTTGAACATCAGCTAATTCAAAGCGACAGGTGAAAAATTCGGAACAATCCCAAACGACATAGATGAATTTCAATCGGAAGCCATGAAGGAGCCATCACTATATATATGCGTAACACCAAATTAGCAATGACACATAGGAAAATTCATCAGAAGTCCATACAGGAGAATACACATGGATGACATGTATATCAAAGACTCATTTGGTCAAGAAACTGATCTTTGCGGCAGAAGTCTGTATCCATCGAGTCTGCGGCACCGTCACAGACTTCTGTATACATCTATACGGTAACGAGCCACAGCTCACTCCACATCACACTAGTTGGCCTTCGACAACTACAAACTGCCGGGACCTTTGTCCTCAGACAGCAAGTTCAATTCTCGACAAGGCTCCCAATCCAATTTCACTCGCATCGAGTAGTGAAGTGTAACGAGAAGAACAAATAATTTGCTGCTCAGCCATCTCAAGATTATGAGCCGGAAACAACCAAAATCAATACCTTCGCGTGGAGAAAAATAGCTCGCTGGCGATAATAGGAAGAAAGCTCATACTACGGTTCAGCGCGTGGTAGTAATATTTCCCTCCGGGGTAGGACATGATGCTTATAACTCAGCTAATCATTGCTGAGATTAACGGCCACATATTTTCCGCAATTCCAGCATTTAAGTAGCCCCACTGTCCTTTTCAAAAGGCTCCTGCACCAACTCCAAACCCAAGTCCAACACTGCATATGATGCCATTCTCTTGATCCTAAAATCCTAGCCAACTGTGGTCGTATCAATCCTGATAAATCTCAGCAGTAGCTGAAGGAGATCAAAGTGTCCATCCGGCGCTGTAGCTCTATTTGCAGCCGACAATTGGCACGAAATATTCTCACCGCTCGCTCATTCTCCAATCGACAGGAAGAAGTGGATACGCACCCAGAGAGGCTCGCACACAAGTAACACTCTTCCACCTCACCGAAAATGGTAGCCATTACCCTATGATTAGCCAGCACCCTATGATCTTCCGATCTAAAACCAGCACACGGAAGAAAATATCAAACGAGATCCAGGAAAATCAACACCATCGTAGATGGACTCCACACAAGCTAGCATCAACAATCAAATTGTGGTGAACGACCAACAAATACTCGCGCTATACGCAATGCGCAACCTCCGATGAACCACACAAGCCAGCATCAACAATCAAATTGCGGTGCAGTGCACAAGCGATGAATACTCCCGCTATACCCAATGCGCAACCTCTAATGAACCATAGGTCTCAGCCATCGATGTCAGACCTTTTGTGTCCGCAGCTGGCTGTCGCATATGAGGTGCTGCGAAAATAAGGTAGCAAAGTCCAGGTTGCTACTAAACAAATGAATGGATCCCTCTTTGGGATCTATATAAACCGCGTGGTATCAACACCGCAAGATATCCAGCATTTTCTGGAACATGACCAAGTGACCAAGAAGAAGAGTCTTCAGGATCTTCTGATCAAGAAAGATGCGCCGCCGACGGTATCCTCGATACCGCCGGAGCATATCCGGCATCATAGTATGCTTAGCTTTCGAACTGAGAATACACAGAAAGCACAGTCAAGAAGGTATCATCCATCTAATGGATAGTAAATACCAACCAAAAATCAAATTTTCTTAGCCGCTTTTACCCTCGATAAATACTTAAGCAAGCTATGCTCTAGATGATCGACCACAGCATCTTGTGCTGCTGCGCGCTTTCTAAGGCTAATGGAAAGACTACTAACTCTGGATTGCTGCCTATCCGTTAGGCGAGGGTAAAGCATTTCTGGATATTGCTTGCCACGCGCCGGTGTTGATCTTCCGGATTATAATTGCTAGTGTATTGTTTTGTTTGGTTGATGGATGTTTGACTTGTTGTATAAATTGTGGGGGATATGTTGTATTACTTAACAGCTTTTCTTTTTGTCGTTGAGCTTATGTCATGATTAGCTGATCTGGAACCAAAATATATATTCAACACTAGAAGAACTACATCAATATCTGCTGATATGTCTAGCCTAAGTCTAGCCCACAGGATGATGTTGAATTCAGATATCCATCATCTTCACAGGGAATGCACTGCCATCTTCCTCTTTCGAAGACAGCATGCGCGTGTGCGTGCGCCTCAGCTCTAACGTTCATTAACGACGAATACTTCCTTTCGAATTTGAACCGACTGACGAGAAAGCTTTCTACTTTCTACTTCTTACCGACACCTCAACTTTGAGTTGAAGCTTTTGTTCAGTACGCGCCGATGAACTTTATTAATACTGGAAGATCTCTCTGTGGCGCCGATAAACACCTCAAATACAAGAACAGCCTCGTCCTACCGGCTTATCTATATCGAATTCTCAATTGTGACCAACTCTCTCATCTACCATCAAAGAAGACCTCGAGATCTTTGCATCACTCTTCGTCTGACCAATTCCAGTACTCGCCATATCACAGCAGCTTTCCATACTAAGCAACCGTTAAGGAAACCACATCTCAAAGCAACAATAAGAAGATCTTGAATCCTCCTTCGTGGAACAAACCAAGCATTCGGCTTCGGTCTGCGCATAAGCTCTACTCCTACTCTGCCAAACTTCACACCGTACTTTGTTCATCATCAGGTATTTGCTGCAAAGGCTCTAGCAAGTTTCCAGAACAGTCTACAATCTAGTGTGAACAATATGGGCTGGATCATATTCGGTGGAAATGTATCGTTCCGACTGTAACATCTGTCTGTGCTGGGGTTTTGAGTCTGATGAGGAAGATGGTGGGGATGTGGAATATGAATGTGAAAGAAGAGATGTGGTAGATGTTGATGTGGGAGGTGGATGGGGTGCTTCCGGTCTTGTGGATAACAATAATGGTGGTAGCTGATAGCAAATATGTCGGGGATTTATTGCTCCTTTGTCTGCATGATTAAATGGGGGAGGGAAGGGGAGGGGAGGGGAGGGTTGATGAACTCATGAAAAAGCTATTCAAGCCGAAAAACAAATAAATGAAGAATATAGCAAGGGTAGATAGACTACTGATGGAGGTGATTTACGATATCTCGCCGTATTTGGAACGGCGGATGGAACGATCATTGTAATAACATGGCGTATTGGTATCAGATAGCAAGATGCATCTGCCTGTATTTGCATAGGGGTAATGCTTGGGTTCCAAGTGGTAGGTTGTATATAATAAGCAGAAGAATACAAAACGTAGAAATTACTTCATCATACAATGAACAACGCAACGACTCACATTTTACGTTTCTCAGCAAAAATGATAAGAAGCGTTCGAAACTCAATAAGCCCTCGAGACCAATTTGCGGGGAGAAAAGCCCGATTAGGATAAATGAAGAAGAATGTTCTGAACTTCCATCATATATTGATGGCACCGATGCTTAGTATCATGTATCTTGATGATTTAGCTGCAAAGTGCATTTTTTATATCAAGCCTGGTATTGATATCATCGACTCGGTTGTGGTGGTTCAGAATGAGAAATCGAACACATCTTCCTACCTTAATGAATCAGAAGCTGGGTAGCCCCTCAAATAAAAAAATCTTCTTGAGAGACTGTACTCCTTTTGGGAAACTCCATCCAATCGTCTATTTGCTCGTTGAGGAGAGTATCTTTGAACATCATCGGTCTTTTTGTTGCTACCGACTTTTTTGGTCCCCGAAGAATCGGTATGATCGATATTGTCAATGTTACCGCTGTGGACATCACGAGATCTTGAGCGTCGGCGTGGAGGTTCAAAAACATTTCTTGCACTGTTTCCGATTTTCTTCTCAACAGCCCTGAGCCTCTGCAGTTTACTTTTGACTGACTTGTAACTTCTGCCAGGAAGTTTTCTCAAGAGACCTTCGGTCTTGATTTGATACCATTTGCGGCCTTTGTTGCATCAGTTACAAAATTTCTTTCCCTCTAGCTTGATCTTTGAATGGAGTCCCAACCGTGTCCGGTCTGCATCCTATTGATATGTGAAATGAAGGGGTATGAACCTCAAAATTCGGCATCTGTCTCAGAAGTTGATATCGCTTTTGGGACCGCTTGATACATCTATCTACAGCACTTGCGTAAGATGAATCGATATTCTCCTAGACTATACTACGATCAGTGTCATGATCGGCGTGCTCTTGCTGATGTTCTCGATACTTTTGTTGCTTATATTGATCTTTACAATACTCTGCTTGCACAGCCACACAGTCATACAGCCACACTTTCAAATCCTAGGCCAAGACTTCTCAATTACCAAAGTTACGTCATTGTGGCGTTTCCTTCTCTGTGTATCAAACACACTTAACACTTACCTGGTGCACCTTCCAGCCTGATATCATATTATACTTTTTCAAGGAACAATGTTCTACAAAAATACCACATTCACAACTCAGATTCCGTAACAAAACTCATGATATTTCTTGCAAACAACACAAAGCACCACGACCACAACCACAACCACAACCACAACCACAACACTCCCACAACTCACCCAAGAACATGGCATCACTCCTCCGACAAATCGTCGCAGGTCCCCGTTCTCGACACCCAGAAGCAGGACTTGACCTTTGCTACGTAACACACAACATCATTGCGACATCGGGTCCCAGTGGCACATACCCACAACGCGCATATCGCAATCCTCTCGATCAACTCGTTACATTTCTCGATTATAAACATGGGAGTGAAGGATGGATGATATGGGAATTCCGGGCAGAGGGGACTGGATATCCGGATGAGGAGGTGAGGGGAAGAGTTAAACATTGGCCGTGGCCGGATCATCATCCTCCGCCGTTTAAATTGGTGCCGGGGATTGTGGGGGGGATGAGCAATTGGTTAGAGGGAATGGGGGATGGGGAGGGAGGGGGTAGGAAGGAGGGGGGGAAAGAGGAAGGGAAGGTGGTGGTTGTGCATTGTAAGGCTGGGAAGGGGAGGAGTGGGACGATGGCTTGTAGTTACCTGATTGCGGAATGTGGATGGAAGGCTTCGGATGCACTTGCGCGGTTTACGGAGAGGAGAATGAGACCTGGTTTTGGTCAGGGTGTTTCAATTCCGAGTCAGTTGAGATGGGTTGGTTATGTGGATCGTTGGACACAATCTGGGAAACATTACATTGATCGACAGATTGAGATTATGGAAGTACATGTTTGGGGGTTGAGAGATGGTGTTAAAGTACAAGTTGAGGGGTATGTTGATGAAGGAAAAACCATCAAATTATTCCATGTTTTCACAAAGAAAGAAAGAGTGGTGGTAGAAGGAAATACACCGGGTAGTGGAGGAATCAAGAACATGTTATCTGACATGGCAGGATTTGGGATTCAAGACAAGATTGGGACATCGAAGAGCGCAGATCTCATTGAAGAACCAAAACACACAAAACCAATACTACGAGCGATGGAACCCAATACAGGTGAATCCTCCGGATCCGATTCGGAAACTGGTGGTGGAGCTGTCATCTTCAAACCTTCTACTCGAGTTATACTACCGACCAGCGATATCAACATCGATTTTGAACGACGCAACAAAGCATCCATGGGATGGACTATGGTGACCGCCGTCGCCCACGTATGGTTCAATGCGTATTTCGAAGGAAACGGACCAGAAAATGGCGGGCTACCCGCCGAAAACGGGCTTTTTGAAATCGAATGGGATAAAATGGATGGGATCAAAGGATCCAGCCGAAAAGGAACTCGGGCTTTCGATAAACTAGCCGTCGTGTGGAAAATCTACGACCCTGAACCCGGCCACAGCAAACCCGAAAGTATCATCGACGAACCCGATATTGATTCGCCAGTGCCTGATGTCCAAGCTGCGGATTGGAAGGGGGAAAATGAGGTTTCGACGAGTCATGATCATGGGGAGAGGGATTTGGGGCTGAGGACCGAGAGTCCGGCTAGTGCGGAGGTTAGTAAGGCGAGTAGTGTTATTGAGGTTGATAAGGAAGAGCAAGAAGAAGCGAGGAAAATTTCTGATTCGGAAGAGGGTTTGAGGGTTTCGAGTCCAACTGGTGAGGAGGAATTAGAGTTGGGGTTGGGGTTGGATGTGGATTTGGAGAGGTTACCGAAACCGGAGGGCAATGCTTCGGTGCCGGATATAGAGGCGGTTAATTCGGGACTGGATACGGCGAGTAAGACGACGGTTAATTATGGGGCGGCGGGAAAGTGAGTGCTTGGTTTGGTTGTTGATTGATTGAGTGTGGTTGAGAACTGCGAGTTGTTGGTGTTTTGATGTGATGATGTGGATGATGCTGTGGATGATATACCTATGCCTATACTATACGCATACCCATACCCATATCAGACGCAGATAGAGAAAGAGAAAGAGAAAGAAGAAAGAAGAAGAAGAAGAAGAAGAGAAGAGAAAGAGAAAGAGAAAGAGAAAAAGCATTAGAAATAGATACCATTGCGTTGCATTACATTTCTTCTCGAAATAATTCTAGTACTAAGAACAATTACAAAGCAAAGAATAATACTAAGAATAAAGAAAGACTTTTTATTTTACGAGTATGCTGGCTGTGTTGTATGTGAGAAGTGAGAGGTGAGAGGTAAGAGGTCTTCTGTTGTACTCGTACTTGTAGAGGAAAAGAGAATTAGAGGAGAATAAGAGATAATGAGAATGAGAATGAAAATGAGAGATGTGTTTGGGATGGGATGGGATGGGATGGGATGGGATGCGATATAATGTATGTGATATGTTATGAAATGTGATGTAATAATATGATATGATATGATATAATATAGTAGCAACGATACATAACAAAACAAAGGAAAAGAAAAGATATGAAAATAAATTACAAGTATAGTAGCGGTAGTGGTAGCGCAAGCGAGGTGTGTGTATATTATCCCCCTTCTTCCTCTCTTTTCCCTACTTTCCCTACTTCCCCGGCTCTTCCTCTCTTCTCCCCCAACTCCCCCGTTTCTTATTACCAGCTCTTTCTCCTTATTTTTCTATCTTCATCTTCCTCTTGATCTCCATCTCCATCATCATCTATATCCCCACACCAGCATCAACTACCCACCCTCCTATTTCGAACAATCCCCCAAAACATCACCCCCACCCCCACCCCCACCCCGACTACCAAACACCGAATAACTCGTGACTATACGCACTACCACCCGGTGTATATCTAAAACCATCCGCGACCAGTGTACTCGCATCATTACCATCATGATCATGATCTTCATATGCTGGCAAGACATCTTCATCTTCATCTTCATCTTCCATCTCCATCTCACTTGTATTTGTATAGCCATCGTAATTTAACCCTGAACCCACATATTCTGGTGTGCGATGAGCATGTGATATTTGCAAAGAAATAGGCGAACGGCCTTCTTCGGCCGCAATCATGTCACTAACTATATTAGCGGCATTGCGGAAAGAAGTGATGTTCTCGCCGATAGATATTGTAGATTCGGAATCGGAGTCACAATCTTCTAGTAGCGCTCCCTTCTCTTCGTATTCTTCTTCTTTGTCACGATTAGTAAGTCGTGTCCACCAAGTTTTGAAAGTCGATTTGTGGGCAGCGCGACAATAAGCACGTCGTCTGCAACGGTCTGAACGACGGGCTTGGCGGAGTGAACGGGCTTTAGGGTTGCAGGTTCGATGGTAGAGGGCGATTATTAGGATTGAGAAGAGGAAACCGATGGTGGCGAATTTGAGGATGTGGATGGGGAAACCTGGTGGATTGTGGGGTGGAGGGCCTTGATCACCGCCTCCTTCCATCATGTGGGGTGGATGTCCATCGTGGGGAGGACCGTAAAAGTGGATTGCGGAGCCCGAATGGGGTCCATCGTGGGGAGGAGATTCATCAAAGCCTGGATGATCTTCGGGAGGTCCTTCACGGAATGGATTGTCATGGGGAGGTCCGTCGAATTCTAGTTCGGAGTTCTCGAAATCTTCGTAATGGGGTCCCTCATGATGTGGACCATTATGAAATTCCTCACCGTGTGGGTGATGTGATTCTTCATCTTCAAGCCCGTCAAATGATCCCCCATGTGGAGGTTTGCCGTGATGATTTTCTTCGAAACGATCAGATTCTGGGCCATCGAATGATGGAGGACCTTGTTTATGATTTGGGATAGCATGCTTTCCATGACGTCCTTCCGAATCGTCATCAATGTCGGCATATCTGTGTGAGGAGCCATCATGTTCTCTGTGGAATCGGTCTAATTCTTCAAAGTCATCTCCATGTCGTCCGTGACGTCCTTCAAATTCATCATCGAATTCATCATGTCCGTGTGGGGGGCCGTCATGTTTAGGTGATTCACCATGACCTCTGTGAGATCTTTCTCCTCCCTCAAGCTCATCTCCGTGTGGTCTTCCGTGATGTCCATCCTGATGTCTAGGACGTCCTTCCCAAGGTCTACCTTCCTCTTCATCATGATGGGAAGGGCTCATTTCAGGGTGTCTTCCGTGTTCAAAACCGCGAGGGCCGAATTCATGTGGAGGAGGTCCATGTGAAGGTCCATGTGGCCCATCACGATGAGGGGCATGAGGATAGAAGTCAAAAGGAGGAGGATAATGACAAACTGGTAGAATATGGTGTCGGTGAGGAGGAGGAAAGTGTGGGCCAGTATGATTGTCCTTGCCATCAGGTCCGTCTGGGCAAGTATTATTTCCAGATATATGATTACCTGGCTTTTCATCAAGTCCCTTGCCAAATTTCTCACCTTTTCTTGATTGCTTTTCAAGCGAACGATGGAAGGATTCCTCATCAAACCTATCGCCAGCAATCTTTCCGCAAAATTTGCGAGCTTTTTCGCTAATAATTACAGCAATGCATCGGAGACTATCACAATCTTTGATTCCGTTATCACGATTGTTATCTTCTTGGGCATGCTTGGTGATATAACGTCTCTTCTCGTGGATGAGATACTTCAACTCTTTCAATTGAGCTTTCATGTATCTAAACTCGGCCATTTCCTTGTGAATGTTGAAATCTTTGTGGCCCATGTGATGATGATGCTCTCCATCCAGACCTTTGCCCATATAATACTTATGTTCTCCTTCAGAATGCTGGCTATTGTGATGTTGACGGTCGGGTGATTGACCTTGTGGTGAGTGATGCTCAATGACTTCGTCTTCTTGAGAAGAGATGGTTTCGATGTTCATGATTTCAGTCTCTTCCGTTTGTCGGAATAGAACAGAGAATCCGGTATTTTCGATTGATTTTCCATCTACAAAATCGACCATGAACTTCATTAGTTGTCCATGTGGTTTTCCATCGATGAAGATACAATCGAAATACCATGATCCAACTACGATTTTATTGGTCGATGTCGAAACAGAACCTTTTCCGGATGAGACTAAAGTTTCGGGATCGAATGTCTGTGAGAGAGCTTGACCGTCGATTGTAACATTTCCAAAGCCACATGCTTCTGTGGAATGTAAGATATCAAGTCGAAGGTCCAGGGGGGATATGTCAGCTGATGGGGAGCCATGACCAATATCGAGGCGGACGAATCCCTTGGTATATGCATCTAGAAACACAAGATTAGATTCCATGAGAATAGAATAGCAAACTCGATATAAATTTACCAGTAGTACCAATATTAATTAGTTTGTATTTGGCATCACCATCTTGTACAGACTCAGAGAATAATGGTAGAACAAACGCCGATACTATGGCTGGCGCAAATAAGATCACCTTCAAAAGGCTATGCATGATGGATGAGGGAACACCGATCCGAAAAGATATAAAACGAAATAAAAATGATTTAGCTAATTTGAAATTGAAAAATAGTATGCAAAATGATAATATCACAATATCGAAATATGATATTTATTGTACAGAGCACTATCTGTACTGCTGCTAGCAATAATCGCACAAGCAAATAATAAAGCAATCAAATGTAATCAAGAAAAAAGAGAAAGCCTGGATAGTTAAAGGAAAGGATTCATGATCAAGGTTCTTTTAATCCCCCACTGCCTTACGAGTTCTTCATGATTGCGCAGTCGTGATTAGATGAGCTAACCAGAACGACATCACGCGTCGTCAGCATCAAGGCGGTTATACGGAGTAGAGTTCAATGATTGTGCATGAGGATACTGTAAAAATAGCAAATGAGAAACGGGAAAAGTTGTATATGGGAAGGATATCCGGATGTATCGGTTGATGTCTTGGATGTATAAGATTGATATGATAGTAGCTAGTAGATGTAGTATGACTACCAATACAAGTACTTGACCATTAATGGCGATGATGAAGAACGGCCATGAAGAAAGCATGATTTTTTACTGGCAGGGCAGCAATGTTTTCGACAATGATAGGAAATTTGAGATTCGAGATTCGGCACCGAGGATCAAATTTTATGCCTCAATATCAAGGCCATTAATATCTACTTTTGGTTCATCGAAAACCGTCATACTGTCATACTTCGATACGGTAACCTAAACCACTCAACTGATCCTTGAATATCAAATCCGCTCTGAGCTGTGCGCATAACAAACAACATCATTTACCTATCGTCAATATGGTTGTATGTATATCTCCAAATCATCTCTACGTCTTCCGCGAACTGTATCAATTACGCGCACATCACACGATATTAATTCCTTGTGGCATAGCTTCCCCTAGGTCTACTGACGGCCGCACAAGGCCACCCAATGCTGGTCGAGCTTAAGGATGGCGAGACTTTGAATGGTCACTTGGTATCATGCGATACATGGATGAATTTGACTTTGAAGGAAGTTGTACAAACAAGCCCGGTATGGGAGATTCATTCATGATAGTTGGGGGAGGATTTCTCTGTTATGCGCCGAAGCTGATGTTTGGTATGCAGGATGGCGATAAATTCACAAGGTTACCGGAAGTCTATGTCAAAGGAAACAATGTATGTTTTTCACGGGAGGCAGTTTATGAGAGGATATGTCCTGACACATCCCACAGATCAAATACCTACGAATGCCAGATGAGATTATTGATTTAGTAAAGGACCAACAACAAGGACAGCAAGGTGGATACAGAGGTCGCGGAGGTAGCAGGGGTGATAGGGGCGACAGAGGTGGTGATAGAGGTCGTGGTGGCAGAGGAGGAAGAGGTGGTAGAGGAAGAGGGGGGAGAGGGGCTTGAGAGATTGGTGGTGGTGGTAATGGGCAGAAAATGGACTTCAAGAAGATACATAATAGCACTTAGGAAGGATAACGTGCAGAGGGGCGGCTACATCTCTTCTTCATGAACATCAGAAGATTTCGATGTTTGCAGGAGTCAGCCTTGAAGTGATGCAGGCATACTATAGGTTCATGCTGGATGTGAGAAATCATTGAGGCAAATCTCATCAGACTCTCAAACCACCACATGGTCAGAAATTATTAGCCCACAATAACAAAAACATACATTTCCACATTCTTCAACTTTACTGCAATACAATCCAGATTTATCCCTGTTGTACAAATTCCGCTCAATGATCGCGGGTAATATTTCTTTCCCCTCAGTCTCTCCACGTGATTCTAAAACATTTCCGCCGCGCCTAGAAATGTTCCCGCGAACCTCGATCAAAATTGTTGAATACCTCAATGACGGCCACGAGAATCCCAATTGATGGACTATGGCGTTGTCTTTGTCCTTCGATCAATACCTTCATTTTTGCGCGTCCTGTTACTTTTAATCAACTCCCTCGAAAAGTCTTAAATCGTCCTCTGGTTAAAAATAAGAAGCTCCCAACATGCTTGAAAAGACCTTTCCACACCACCACCGCACATTCGCTGCCAGTGCTAAATGGACAATATGTACCGAGATCGCGGCATCATAAACCAAAAATACATGGACCAAAACCCATTAATTTGGGGAAATTGAACAACGAAGAGATTCACGATCGATTAAGACAATTAAAGACGGAAGAGGGGGCCTATAGCCAAGTTGCAGAGGTAGTGGAATACTTGGTAAAGGTTCGGCAGGAAAAGCCTGCATTGATTCATTACGATGCTTTGATTGCAGCCAATGCGGATGCTGAACATGGCAGCGCAGAAGTTGTTAGGACTTTGTTGGAAGAGATGAAAGGGTTGCGCATTGGTGGTGATTCGGGGCTCTATCATACAGTTTTACAAGTATGTATACTTTTTGCATTCGACTTGGAATAAGATCATCAACTAACAAATCTGGTTGAATAGGTACTCGCGATTCATCCAGATTACCTTTTACGCACTCAAATATTGGAAGAAATGAAGGAACGTTGGTATGGTCTCTCTCCAACCGGGTGGCATAATTTGGTCATTGGTCTACTTCGCGATCGTCAATATGAGATGGTTATGGATAAGTTTGAACAAATGCAAGCATCTCAAATCGAGATCCAGCCATGGCTTTATGATATTTTGTTCTTTCGGTTATGTGAATTAGATGAGCTGGATGAAACTCTCAGATTATTGCAGACTCGATACCAGACACCACCACTGACGATGCATATGTATTATCACATGCTGGATTCATTTGCCAGTGCATTTCATGTAAGCATAATTGATATGATATGTTTGTTTTCACCTGTTGACTTGTGATTAGTACGAAGGTACCAGTTACATCTGGAGACTATTTGTCGAAACATCGGAAATCAATCCTGCAGATGGAACTTGTACAGCTGTATTAAACTGTGCTGCTCGTCATGCAGACCCCAATTTAGCCACATCCGCGATTGGAATCCTCTCCAAACGTAGCACCGTCCTCGGTGTGCATCATTATGAAGCTCTTCTCGACGCATATGTCGGAGCTCAAGATATAAAAACATCTTTCCGAATCCTAAATATCATGACCAAAGCGGGTCTGACACCAGACGCAAACTCCACACGATCAATATACCTCTTCTTGACGAGCTCATCATTCCAAGCCCTTGCCGGATGGGACATTCTGAAATCATTGAAGAAGGATGGATACACGATTCCAATCGCTGCTGTGAATGTTGTACTAGAAGCCGTCATTGTCACCAACAATATAAGTCACAATACAGACCACGCGATGAATATTTACAAAGAACTCCACACCATCTGTGACGTAGGTCCTAACATCGAAACCTTCAACACCATCCTCCGAGGCCTGGGTCACTACAGCACAGGCAGTAAACCCAAAGCCATGTTCCTGGCCTCCGAAATCCAAGCCCTCAATCTCAAACCTGACGAACTCACATACGATCGTCTCATTCTCATCTGTCTGCAACCGGAAAACGCGGATTTTGACGATTGTTTTCGATATTTGGAAGAAATGATGTTGGTAGGAAAAGACAAGGTGGATTCGGGAGGAAGGAGAGGCTGGTGGATGAGACCTGGTACGGTCGTTGCTTTGGTCAAGAGATGTGTGGAGAATGGGGATGAGAGGTGTTGGCAGTTGATGGAGGATATGAAGGAGAGGGGTATGGCGAATGAGTATACGAGGTTGCAGGTTTGGACGGATATTCATTGGCCGCAGAAGGGGGGCAGGGCTTCTTTTAAGAAGGGGGGTGCTGATGGGGATGGGGCAGTGGATGGGAGGAAGGATGGGGGGAAGGATGGGAGAAAGGATTTGTTGATTAGAGAGGGAGAGGGAGAAGGCATTCCTCATATTCCTGCGTTGGAAGAAAGTAAAGCTTCTTCGTTCTGATAGGTGTAGTGAGAGTGTGAGTGAGAGTGTAGATAAGTCACCAAAGAATAATTATACATGATTTACATGAATTACATACATTGCAACTGCACTCCCATCACATCACTATATCCATTCCTCTTTTACAACGCTACAACATTACATCAGTACTGTATAATATATATATATCCTATCCGCTTAATCTCCAAAGTCTCTACATAGGAATAAATACAATGCTTAGTAGTCACGCCTTAGGCATCATCGATTTAGAGCCTTTTACTCGTAGAGCTTTTCAGATTATTGTTATTATTATTATTATTATTATAAATTGTAAAGAATGATGGGGAGGCATTTAAAAAGCTAAAGAAAAGGGCTCGGCTTGTAGAACTACACTAGTCGAAAAACGCTGTTTTAAGATGGGAATGCTTTCAAGGTGATTGGCCTTCGGGGAAGGAGGTAAATCCATATCTGCAATTCGAAAGGTTGATGAGATTATTCAACCGGTGGAGTTCGATGCTATCCGTTTGGGTGGGTGGCTCTTTTTCTTTTGAGCACAAAGGGTCTGGGGAAACCTGTACAATACAATGATACTATGGATGGCAAGAATTTCTTCTTATAAAGGCAATGCGCCTTCTGTCTACTTTCGATAACATCCTCTCTCCCCCCTCCACCCCCACAACCCAAAAGCGCCCCACAATGTTGATTGCATTTTCTTTTACCTCATTTTGAACCGGGAGAATTTTTTTCATAAACGTTGAGATCTATTGGCCGTAAGCCTATGAGGATTACAGCCGCTCAAAAGTATCACGTACCAGTCTAGATTGTCAACAATATATATTATCATTTAAGCAATAAGCTATTAGACGTGGCATGTGCGATTGGTCGGTTCGTAGTAGTATAGTGAGATCATTCATTTCTTCGCGTGCTGTAACGCCAGATGAAAGACAGAACCCAGCAATATAAGTAAGGCTGGCATACAGGTTGCTGTGTTGCTGTTTTACTATGTACGTTTTCCGCAACGAACGCTATAAGTTAGCCAAGGTCTCCTGTGCTTGCTGTGACCAACTCCTACTCCTCCACATCTCCAAGAAGCCAAGGGTCTTCTAGTAGCTCGGAGGGCGACGCTCTCGATTCCGGCGTCCACCTGACCATTTTGCGAACGAAATCGAGGAAGCCTTTCTTATTGGAAACGTCGAGATTCCTCTCGGAATCTTCCCAAGACACTGATAGGACAGGATTCAGACACTTCCAGTTGCCTGTCGCATACACATTAGGTTGGCAGATACACATCCTTGGAATCAAGTACTTACCTTTGTCATCGAAGTAAACGGAGCTGCACTCGCTTCGCTGGAGGAACTCGAGGGGAGGAGGTACTAAAAGACCAACTATACTAGCAAGGTGAAAGCGGTTCCCATACTTGTTAGTCTCGGGGTCAAGCCCATCGAACATGTGTCTATTCTCAAACATGTCCCAGACCTAGAACCTCTCATTAGTTTTGTGCTATTAGCCACATGCAGGAAATCTCGCACCATGACTCCGAAATTCCATATATCCACAGCATAACCCCAGGGCATCTCTAGAATGACTTCGGGAGCCCGGTAAGAATCCGGCTGGATGTCATGACAGTGCTCGACCTGTCCGTTCCGAGCGAGAGAGAAGTCACAGAGGATCGGACGGCCAAACCTTGTTGGAATACCGAAGTTTGCGCTTTTGTAGAGATTGTACCCATTGATACTTTTATAGAAGCTCGATGCCGCGATTTCTTTTGTATCCAGCTGTTTCACGATAGATGAATCGACCAAATTCAGCAATATATTCTCTTCTTTTATATCTGGCACTCTGTTAATGTTTTCCAAAAGTAGAGTGAGAGAAGCGACCTAACCTGTGTGGATAATATGGCACTCGCTATGCAAGAAATCTAGTGCGAGGAGCAAATGGATCAAAATTTGCTTGAGCATTGCCTCGGGCAGTTTACGATCTGGGCGAGTATATCGGAGGCTCAATATATCGTTGGAAAGGATCTCGTGAACTAAACATTGATGGGAATTCCCTGCTCTGCTCGTAACAAAGAAGGAACCCTGCATGGTGCGGACATACATCTTGCCAGGATGGTCGAGGTTCCCCGCGGTGCTAAGATGTTTGTAGATAGCAATTTCGTTGTCAATCTCATCTTCTGCAACCAAATTGTGGGCGTAAATTTTCAATGCGGCATATTTATTCGTGCTGGTATATCTGGTCAATGGCTAGGTAGGCTCCACCTCACGCCCTCTGAATTTCACTCACGCCAGGTTACGACAGCACCATATCGTGCTTGCTGATCCGAAGCCAAGTTTTGCCACAACCTTATACTTTTCATAGATAACTTCGCCCAAGGTCATCGGGTAGAACTTTTCGAAGCCCAACTCCCTCTCTTCTTCAAACGGGGTGGCCAAGGATGACCTGGAGCGCGATGCAACGCGGCCTGCGCGGTATAAAAAGGAAAATGAAATAAGGCGAGATCTATCCAAGACTGGCGTTCGCAGCCGCAAGGAAATACGAGGACGACAAAACATGGATTCAAAAGAGTTCTAGTCTACAGTTAAGTAATGCGAAGGTGGATGGCAGGTACCGAGGCCTGCAACTGACATCGGGTCAAAACCCCATTTATAGATTTCTGCCTTATACAAATGCGTCAACTAAAATTTGTATAAGTGCGCTTCTTAGAATATTGATGAGTCAGCATAGATTTATGAATATATATATGAAAACTCTTTATATAAGACCATTTATATTTAAAAATTGAATATACTATTATTCTAATATTATATCTTGATTCTATTAATAATAAAATATTATTATTATAAAACTAATATATATTAAATCTATCACGGGGCTGATATAGGTTCTAATAAGTACTAGATAAGATATATAATATTTGATAAGAAAGGAAGAAGATACATAGAGTAACGATAATTATATAATAAATGGATATCTAAGGCATCC